AGCAGACCGTGGACTTTGTGAAATATCTGCAATTGTTTCCACTGCCGTACTGTTCGCCCTGCACGGCATACAAAGGCAACATTTACAAATTATTCCAGTGACCTTCAGGTAGCGTGTTGTTGAAACTGTGGTTTACACATTTTAATAATACTATTGTATTTCTTGGTGCTTTTCAAGGAAGCAATACAATATACAAAACAACGTGTGGCAATGCTAAATTATGCATTGAAAGCTTTAGTGAAGCGATAGGTCTCTATGTGAGTCTCTAATGGACTTGGGCAGAGAATTCCACATGCATGGGACTGATGGTGTGTGGAGCCTGGGCTTTAGCACGGTAAAAACCCTGAGTCAGCAGGTCTCAGATTAAGAGCTGGACTATACTTATGCAATAAGTCCTTAAGATATCCTGGAGCAGGACCATGCTTTGTGTCATACTGTACGTGACAGGAGAACCTTTAAGTCCACTCTTAATTCAACTGGGAGCCAGTGCCATTTGCAGGGTAGAGAAGTTATAATGTTTGTAGTTTTAGTTAGTACATGAGGTGTAGAGTTCTGGCTTTTAGTTGCTGAATAGTAATAATACAATATTAATTGTATATACAGTATAAGCTTACAATCTCCATTAAGTTATTGATGTGTGTCTTCCTCTGGAAATGTTCTCTTAGTTTCCTGTCAGTTTAGACCTCATTTCATTTCCCCCTTTCCATTTTCTCAGACTTTTCTTTTGTCCTTTTTTATCTCCAGCTCCTGCTCTCTCCTTCTCTCCCCACACTCCTGAAGAAGCTCCATGGCCAGGACATGTGCTTCTGCTTTTCTTTTCGCTTGGCGGTGTAACCTCTGCACCTCGGTGCTCATTCCTCTGCAGGCTGCGCTCTGACGCAGCTCCTACAGTAGCTCTCTGTGTAGGTTTCTATGTTAGCACACACAATTACCTCTAATTTTATTCTCAAATGCGGTAATACAATAGGTTTCTGTAACACTTGTAACAGCTTTTATGGCCTTGGCAAGTCGGCAAAAAACAAACACAAACATTGGATGTGTTCTGATCATCAGTGTTTCAAAAGGTGACACTTACTCTGTCGGATACCACGCAATTTGTTTATTTCCATATTAAAGTTGGGTTTCTGAGCCAACAACCTCATCTTTGTTCATAGTGGAGGCTGAGGGTTTGGTTGAAGCATCAGGCTGATGGTATTGATGTTTTTTTTTAAATCATCTGAATAAAATGATCCCTTTAGTTAACAGAACAAGTGAGTATCTGGCAATAACTCTCCGTTCTGTTGATTTTTCTGGCAGCACTTCGACCTTCAGGCTGTTGGTAGGACACTCATTTCTTGCTCATGCTGAATAAGAGTTTTAAAAGCGTCTCCGACCGCTGTTGCTCACAGAGGGATAATTCCAGTTGTCGCAGGCTGGCGGGAAGCACCAACACACTGCCTGTGCCTTTGAATGGCTTTTCACAGCTGGGCAGGAGAGGGGAAACAAATGTTTTTAAATGTGGGTTTTGGACTTTTTTTTTTTTAATTGTTTCTTTGTTGGCCTGAATGACTTATAGAGAAGTGCTGGTGAGGACAGTGTGGGGAGAATTGCACAACGGTGCTTGACGTTTCCTAGCCCACCCGCCCTCCCCCCGTCCGGCTGTTTTTATTGGACACTCAAACCATCAACACCCGGAAAAATCAGCATTGCTGTTTTTTTTAGTACCTTTTGCCGAATTAACGGCAGAGGCACACACATCTCAGAGTTCGGATAACTCGTTGAAGAAAATATTCTTTCTCTTTCCAGTGGTCTTTTTTTCCAAACCGTAAAATCAATTTTTTTAAAAAAAAAAGCATCCTGTGACCCGAAGAATTCCTGGAGTTTCTTTATCGTGCGGGTGTTGTGAGTGGTTTTGTGCACGCCCGTGTAGATCCTGTGTGTGTTTTCACTGTGGTTAACTTTCCATCACCAGCCATCGGGTGTCGTGACCTTTGACCGTCCAAAAGTAACTTGCATTCTGTGATCACAACAATTCTAATACATCACTGCAGGTGTTTATTATAACGAGATCTTAGATTAACAAGATAATTCCCCTTGCATGCTATCCTCAAAGTGTGTAAATGTTGCATATTTTGCCGTATAGGTAATGCAGATTCCCTTAAATATATTGTAGGAAAACATATTGACAGTGAATGTATTCTGCCTAAATCACACTGAGTAATCCACCACTGTCATCTATAGAGTATAAAGTGCTTATTGTGCTTACAAATGATCCCATTACTCAGCTGTATCAACCCTGCAACAATACTTCCATTGCCTGCAAAGCCCTGTCCTGTGGTTATAAGAATGTCCTTCCTCCGAGACAAAAGCCTCAATAAACTGAGTGAAGGAACAAAAAAGAAAAATGCACCGTCAAAGTTAGATCATGGGAAGCTTTAAAAACCAAGCCTGCTTCTCCTGGTATTACTCATTAAGGCCTGCCCATGATGTCTGTAAGGAATGCCACAGCAGTAATCGCCACATTCTTCAGGTACAAAGGTCAGCAGGCGGATTAGTTGACCTCTGATAATCCTGTTACTGATTTTTCTTAAAATCACTCTGATCTGTTCAAGAAGCCGCCTGGCAATAGAAAAGAAAGAAAAGGCGGACATTACTAGTGCGTGTCCTAGCCAGTGCTGTACACACAGTATCTCCCCCAGAAGATAAGTTGACAGACCCTCGATTGGGTCAGCCTGCAGAAGGCTTGTTTTCATCTGATGTTCAGAAAAGGTGACTCGTTGCACGCTGAGAGTGTTACTATTGTAACTTGTGAGCTAGAGGTGTTATTGCAAGGCTCAAGGGTGATGTGTCATGCTGAGCAGATTTGTTGGCTGATTAACGCCTGAATTGTTGGAATAGTCCTGCAACTTCACGCAGTTTAGCTGCATGAGTTTATTTTTTTAAGGGGGAGGAGGGGGTAACAACAGTCTCAGCTTCCTGAAAAGCATTTTATCATCGCAATTCTAATTGTAGCAGAATATAAGAGAGTTGGATGATCTGTTTGCAGGATTGCGAGAGGTAATTTTCCTGCGAGTGCATGCAGTGGAGCTGCCGTTTCAGGGGTTGTAATCTGGGAATAAGGCATGGAGTTTTCAAGCAATCGGGGCTCTTCTAAATCTGCTGCAACCTTGTCAGTGTTCTCGGACTAATGGGCTACAACTGGTCTTTGTCTTTTCAGGCGTTGTTCTTATGGAAATCTCGGAAGTGCAAAAGAAGATCCATCTAGAACTCGAAGAAAATGTAAGTTCATTCTGTATTATTTCCCAGTGCCATGCAGTGTGACGGCAGTATTGTGCAATCCCTGCTGCACCTCTCCAGGGCCTGTCTGTCTCCAGCCAGTGCTCTGCTGAGAGCTGGCACTCCTTGCAGGCTCGGTTTCCCCAGGAACCTGGGCGTATCTGTCGCCGTGCTTAAGACAGACTTGCGTTCTTCTGCACAGCCAGTACTGGTCTCCTACACTGCATGGCCTTTCACAAGTTCACAAGTTCGGATTTGTGGTTTTTCATGCTATCAATGTTATGTCGCACCTGCTTTGACACCTCGGAGCTGGCATCGGGAGGGGCAGCAGGGGCAGGTCTTAACATGCCCTGCTCAGAGAGGCACCAGCTCTGCAGGCAGCACAGCACACAGATGTGCCCCACACTTCCGCGTCTCTCTGTGTGTAAACGGCACATGCCGTGCTCTTCTTATTCTATGATGAATGCATTTTA